GAACCTCCCTGCCCTGCCCTCCAGCCGCACCCACGTTCCTGGACCCTGGGCCTCCTCCGGCTAGGCATTCTGCCTTCTTCTGACAGATGTTATTCTTCAACAGCTTTCTTCATGCAAGCAGCAAACTTTTTTAGTCTTTACATATCCAAAAATACCTCATTCTGTTTTGGAAGACACTTGATCTTTTAGCCAGGTATAAGATTGAGGTTCCAATTCAGCGCCAGTCCCTGGACTTAGCACCGCTCCTGCCTCATAGCTATGAGTCGGTTCTGCTGCAGTTCGACCTGGTTCTTCTGTAGAAAGCACCCTGCCACCTTCCCCCCGCCCACCAGGCTCTGAAAGCCCTTGAAAATCTCTGCCTTATCATTGTTGTGAAATTACATACTATATAAAGATATTTTTTAAGTCAGCCCATTCAGCCCAGAGAACTTCCTCTTTTTTAGTTTCGACCTGTTTCCTTCTCCTTCTCCTCTTTTTCTTTTTCTTCTTCATAAAATGTACATGTCATGCTCTCCCTTCCCTTTTTTCTGTCCACTCTTTGAGAAATTCGTATTAGTTGGACCTTCTGTATCCGCCTTCATTTTTCCCTCTGGCTCCTAGTTTTGCTCTGAGTCTGGGAGAAATTCTCCAGCGTCAACGTCCAGCTGCTCGGCCCAGCCACTGTCCTGCTCAGGAATCCTTGTCTTTTTCGTAGCACACTGCACGCAAAAGCATTTGCTCTTCCCTCCGATCTCTGGGCATGCCAAAGCTCTGCCTGTTCCCTTGCTTCTTTTTTTTTTTTTTTTAAATATATTTCTTTATTGATTTTGTTTAAGTATTTCTATTAATTTATTTTTGTTACAGATGTTTCTCCTTTTCCCTTCCATTAACACCCTTCCTCCAATCCCCCCATCCCCGCCTCTTTCAAGTTCTCTTCTTAACGAATTCTGTTTCTTCTACTGAGGTGAGTGTGTCTTTTTTTCAACTTGGCCCTTCTGTGCTCTGGTTCTTATATGTGGCTAGGTTGTCAGGTGTAATTGTCTCTCCAGATTTGCTGGTTATTCTAACGGACTGTGACGGGTTTCCTCATCTGAATCCATCTCTTTCCGCCTTTCACCTGGGGGAACCTCTGGCTGAGTCCCGTTTCTGAGTTACATGGTATCTGCTTTAGGGTGAGTGGAAGAGAAAGGGGTGAGAGAATACTGGTGGGGTGCTAGCCACCCTTACAGGAAACGTGGGACGTCTTTGCTCTGTTCATCATGATCACTTTGTTCTCATTAAAGAAAGCCTGTTCTGACCTGGCTGGGAGCTGTACGCCCTGGGAATGCTGTCCATTTTCCTTACCTGAAGACTGCTTCCCCTCATCACAGAAGACGAACAACCTTGGAGTCCTGGAGGCAGTGCCCTGGAGAAGCCCACATTCCCCAGCTCCCCAGACTTCCCCACGCTGTGATCTGTGACTGTTTTACCCACCCTTACTCCCTTCGCCTACTCCCCACCATTGCACCCACAGACGTTCCCTTCGCCTACTCCCCACCACTTCACCCACAGACGTTCCCTTCGCCTACTCCCCACCACTTCACCCACATCGTTCCCTTCGCCTACTCCCCACCATTTCCCTCCGCCTACTCCCCATGCAACACCCAGTACAAGTGACTGGCTAGGAAAGGAGCACAGAGCAGATTGTCACAGGGTGGCCCGCTGCTCTCTCACACTGCCAGCAATATTGGAATACACGCTCATAGACGATTCAACCTTATCTCTGCTTGATTGGCTTAAGTAGTGACAGGCAGCCGGACCCATTTGTTGTCCGGTTTCAGAAGGAGGCTTCCTGGCAGTCAAATCCCAGAAAGAGGGGGTTTGACTGAATGAAGGTCCTTCCAGCACTAGAAGCCTTGGTTCTCTGACACAGTTTCCTAATTATCTTACAGACATCCACACACTTCTGTCCCTCAGGGCAGCGATGTGGCTAGCCTGACATTTGGTACCCAAAGGTGGGGAAGTGGGGAAGAGTTGTACCCACCCCAGATGCATCTTCAGGCAATCTCCTTATATTCATCCCCACCCCAGCCCCAGCACCCCACCTGCCATCTCTGAGCCAGGAGCCCTGTGGCTGTCAAGGGTGTAGTCTCTCCACCCTAACCCTGCCCCCTCCCTCCCACCTCCCCTCCCCAGACGCACTCCAAGGCTACCTGCAGCTTCCCCTGGGCTTCCTCTAGGCTGGAGCCTCCATCTCTCTATTTCTTCCCATCAACATGCTCGACACAGAACCAGCTTCCCAGAATTCTTGAAATATCACACATACTGAGCCTCTTTACTTTGTGAGCTTATTTCTTTTATTATTTGTCCCTTTCAGATACAACTGCAATGGCCTATTGAAAGGCAGAAAGCATTTCACCCATGCTAAGTCTATTGTCTGGAGCCGTACAGTTGGAGGAACTTCTGCGTGAGGAAACTGGATAACACACCCCTGTTCCTGTGGCTTTGGCATGACCATCCCCATCTGCAGGTGGGCATAGTTACATCTAGTTGTGATCACAGCACACTATGTCTGCGTGTATGTTTCACGTGATAGTTTTGCAGTTTTTCTACAGTGAAGCCTTTGGCTTCATCACCGTAGTGAATGAGTGAACCCCTGAGGGGGACCTGCACCAAGCCCTCAGAGCACATCGGATGGGCGGGTCATTAACCCCATTTTGCACATGAGAGTATTGAGGCGAAGGGACCAGTAGTGAGCCAGGAATGCGAAGTCCTGAAGGGCAACAGGACTGTGCATTCTTATCCCTGCTCTTTCTTTGCTCATGATGTTGTTCTGGGGCTTAAATGAGATTAAATATGTGAAGCTTACAGGACCAGCCTGGCAGATGTAATTACCATTCCAGTCCCTTCTTGGTCACAGTCCTGCAGACCCAGCTACCTCTGTCCTCCCAAACAGAGGACAAAAGCGCCAAGGAGGAAGCTGCCTCCTCCCCTTAGAGAACTCAGCTCAGTTGGTAGCAGCTGGAAATATGAACTTTAGTTCCATTTCCCACCAACGACTTATACCCACAGGGAAAGGGCTGTGATGCAAGCATGGCTGCCTGGACGTTAGAAATGCACTCTCTAGTTAAGGAAGGATTTCCATTTCTATGTTCTGATGGGAACACCGGACCGGGCTCAGCAACTCCCTGCCTCTTCTCCTGTGTCTCAGGGCCTCCGGCATGAAGACCCTCACCAAGAAGGGGCGCCGGCCCACCAGAGCCCCCAGGTCGCACAGGAGGGATGCCAAGGAGAAAACTGGCTGCCCTTCCCCACAGCAGAGCATTAGATTTGGACAAACCTGGTTCGAATTCTAGCTGTCACTGAGCAGGTGTGTGAACCTGAGCAGTTACTTTGCCTCTCTGTTCCTCAGTTTCCTTTTTATAAAATGAAGCAGGAAAAGGACAAACAAACAAACAAGCAGAACAAAGCACCATCTACCAGTAACGGAATGCCTGGACTTTGTAATAACCACTCAGGGGAGGGCCCAGCACAGCACAGCCCGGCCGTTAGGTGCTCAATAAATCATCACCATCGGTGTACTTCAGCACCTGCTGGGATGGCGGAAAAATCACACTTCTCTGAAGGTTGCCAAACCACTCGAGCTGACTAGTAGTAGGCTGTGTCCTATGTCCTGACTCATCTTCTCTGCTCAAGATTCAAGCCAACCCTACCCCTGACACTCTTCCTTCCTTCCTTCCTTCCTTCCTTCCTTCCTTCCTTCCTTCCTTCCTTCCTCTCTCCCTCCTACACTCCCTCCCTCCCTCCTTCCTTCCTTTTCTTCTTTTCTTTCTTTCTTTCCTTCCTTCCTTTCTTCCTTCTCTTTCCTATCTTTTTTCTTTCTTTCCTTCCCTTTTTCTTTTTTTCTTTCCTTCCCTTTTTCTTTCCTTCTTATTTCCAGTCTGAAGCTTGCTCACTCTTCTCATCTAGTCCATAACAGGTGGCGTTTAGAGCTGTCAACAGCACATGACATTTCCCCTGTGGGCACCTCAAAGTAGCCCAGCCCACCTGCTGGTGTTCTGCTGGGTTCCTATGCTGTTTTCTTTCCTGGGGGGATGGGTTGGCCAGGAAGCCTCTAGGAGCAGGCCATCCTGGATGCTTAAAGAGTTACCCCTGGATGATGTCACACTGTAAGTTAGGGCCCAGGCTGTAGCTCTGGCTCTAGAGGGCTCATCACCGGTGGGCATGCTCCTGTGCCCCTCAAGCTGAGAACTAGCCTTAGTGAAGTCTAGATGGAGGAGGGCCTGCAGTTCAGTCCTAGCAGAGGCAACCTGTCGGCTGCCTCTCAGCCTTCAGCCCTCCTCCCATACAGATTGTCCTCAGGGAGGTCTGTGTGCTGCTGGGAAAGGGGGAGGCCCCTGGTCCAGGCTGCAGAGCCTGAGCCCTGGACCTCCCCGCGCTTCCCTGGACACCCCCTTCCCCGGCTCCCTCTCTCCCACTCCTCATCGCACCCTCCTCCCTGGGCCTGTACAGCCTGTTGCTTCTCACCATTCCTCTTAAAATATGCATAGCCACAAATAGGTCTTCTTAAATCTCCTGATTTGCCAACAGATAAGTCAAACTATGTTTCTGTACGAATGCACAGGAACAGTAAAAGGCCCAAGGAAAATAGGTTTGTAATGCACATGAAAACGCAGTGTCGTTCTTTTGTGTATGAGGACTTCAGATAAATCAATAAGAAAAACATTAACCATCCCTCTGAATGAGGAAACAGCATGAAGAAAATATTCACCTAAAAGAACATGCAATTTATAAATAAGCATATGACAGTATAGTCAATCTTACTAGTAATCAAGAAAATGCAAACAAATAATTTCAAGTGTTTGTCATCTACATAATTATTTTGTTTTTGTTTTTTTAATCTAATGTGAGGCTCACATAAGAGGCTCTGATGTGAGCACTGGAACATCTCATGATTGATTGCTAAAAACATAAGTTCCTGCAGCCACAACCCATGAATGTATCCAAGTCTGAAACACACTCCTAACGTTTCACTCAGTAATTTCATTGTTGGAACACAAGCTAACAGAGAAATATGAAATGCACATATTTATGTTTGCAGTTATTTATGGGAATTAAATGGGACCACACAATTTAGCAAAGAAAAGAAAACAACTCAGTAATTAAAACAAATACAAGAGCTTGTATACTTTCCTGTGGGAAAATGGTTATGATATAATGTTCGGCAGCAAAATCTCAGCCCTCAAAATCACACATTCAGTAAATTCTCAGTAGTATAAAGCAAATGTCCAAAATACATAAAACAGCCTGAAATAAACATACCTTGATGTGCTCGAGATTGTGAGCAGCTTTTGCATGTTTTTTTTTGTTTTTTTGGTTTTTTTTGGGTCGTACGTGCCCCTAGCGGGAACAGAACCCAGGACTCTCTGGTCCTCAGATCGATGCTCGACCACTGAGCCAAAGTGGCCAGGGCTTGCGTGGCTTTTTTTTTTTCCTCCATTTTTTTTTTTTAACACAAAGAGCACCTATTACTTTGACGAAGGGCAAAAATTTTACAGAACCCAAGTAAAATGTGCCCACCTCAGCCTGTAAGAGCTCACAGCCAGAAGACAGAGCCCTCCCCAGAAGGGGGCAGCACTGAGTGTGTGAGTTTGGAGTAGAGAGAAGGCAGGCAGGGATCCTCTGCCTTGAGCAGCTCCTGCTCTATGGTGCTGGGAAGGAGAGAGTTCCCTCTGACTCCATCTCACTCTCCCGCCCCTTGGAGGGCTCAGCAGCTAACACCAGCAGTCCACGTGCCCCCTGAGCCCACCAAGGCTGAGTCTCAGTCCCAGCTGCACAGCCTGGGACAAGTTCTGTCACTGCTCCCACCTCGGTGTCCTCACCTTTCAACATGGGCCTTGACTCTGTCCTCTTTGATGGTATTTACGGGAATTCAATCAGATGAGAACTGTGGTATTGTTGCAAGATGTAGCTGAGTTCTTCCTACTCCATTAATAAATATCCAATGCAGAGACACATAGAACCTACTTTTTCATATACTTATTTTACCGTCTTAAAATAGCCCTCATTTCTGTAAAATTAGACTCTTCCATGGTTAAATCTTCTAAAATATATAAAATGTTTCCCTGCTAGTTAAACTACTCATTAAATGTTATTTACCTTCTTTTTCAGAATGGTATTTAGCTTCTTTTTAAAATGGCCTGAGGTCCTTACCATAAGCCAAGAGTGCCCCTGAGGGAGAAGGGGACTGCAGCTTAACTCCGGTGTGCTGGGTAAGACCCTGGATGACCCCATCAATTAACTATTGTCTATCTAACGCATTACTCACCACAGCCTAACTTTGCAGGGTGCTCTGATTTCATAGATGAGAAAATTGAGGCTCAGAGAAGTTAAGCAAAATGCTGAAGGCTACCCAGCAACAAGGCAGTGAAGAGCAAACCCAGACGGAGCCCCACAGCCTGGGCTCCTCCACGGCCCCGGTGCCATCACACCCCCAACTCAGCCGAGCCCAGATGCTTTGGTTGTGTAGTAAATGCTACTTTGCTCCTATATCTGACCTCTATCAGTTGTCAAGCTTTATACTTTGGTTGTTTAGTTAGTTAGTCAAGTTGGTTTTGGGGTTCCCCTCTCTAAGGAATTCTTGTTTTAATCTTGTGCTTTCAACCTGTCCGAGCCTGAGAAATTAAATAAGTAAATGTCTTGTGATTGTGTCTAAAGGCCAATGAGCTGTAAGTGAGCCTCTGAGTAGTCCTCCCATAGTGAGCTGTAACAACCTGGGGACGTACTCTTTGGTCACCTGGTGGGTCTTTGACTTTCTTCCAGCTCCCCAGCAGCATTTCTGATCATTGAAGTTGTTTAATTTATGGCCTCTGACCCAGGGAATACTGTTATCCAACCCAGACCGATATGCGTTACAAAACAAAATGTTAAACTATTCCAGTAATCATTGCTAGCTTCTTTAAATGGTGTTTCTACCCCACTGTAGTTTTAGAGACACTGCCTCTAACTCTGGAATGGAAGTGTTCTTGCCTCCACGTCAAAAATGAGGAAATCAGGACTCCTCCATTACAAACCAAATGTGTCTGCACCTGGCCAGACGCATTCTGCAAATAGCTCACCTGAAGTCACATGTGCGTGGCCAGCATGGGAGTTCCTACAGATTCATCAGCATGTGAGGTTCTTCAGTTAGAACTAAAGAGAATCATGAGCACTTCCTGCTGCCACACAGGCAGTCCTAACTGATGCTTGGAGTCGGTCCAGGACAGGAGGAGCTGGGCAGGCATCTGCACTGCACACCTCCAGGGGGCAGCCTCCTGCTGTGTTCGACATGGATGGACTCCACTGGCGTGCACCTGTGCTGACAGCTGGGGGTGCCCCAGGATGCTGAAGGGGAGGGGGGATTCCCAGCAGTGCATTGAGGACGGTTGTGAAACCGCAATGGGAATCTCCACAGGGAGGGATCAGACATCAGAAGTGAGAAGTGCAGGGTGTCCCTGCGGCTGATTTGATTCAAGGGTGACATGGTCTAAGCTCCTTCCTTTCTCTGGGGGGAGGAGAATATACCCCTACATCTAACACAACAATCTGTGTGGGGGATTTGGGTGACTCCATGTAACTAATAATCAGTGTGTCAGAATCCAGGTACAGTGTGTCTAAGTACAGCGAATTCTCCACAAACGTCCCCTCTGACTGGGAGCTCAGACAAAAGTGATCAAGTAAAGCACATGGCCTTGGTCCAGCAAGCCTCTTTCTGAGAACCCTTCCCAAAGTTGGCGGCGAACTGCGAAAGTGCTCCGGACAGGGGCCCAGACGCCCTGGGCTGTGAGAGGGCCCCCCACTGGAGTGGGGAGCAGCCGGCCCCAACTCCAACTCCGACGCTGGTTTGTCCCTACTTGGTTCTGTCCCAGCCCAGGCCGCAGCAGGCCGCCCTGTCGCATCTGGGAGCTTTCCGGTCCACAGGGGAATTCTCAGCCACAACCTCTGATCTGGCGGCTGCAGATGGACACAGGAACAGCCAGAAGAATGTGGTTCTTGAGCAGGAAAGTTGGAGCCTGAAGAGTTCAGAAGTGGGCGGGTGTGTGTTTAAAAAAAAAAAAAAAAAAAAAAAAAAAAAAAAAAGGGTGGAAACCCCACCAGCCAAGTCTGCAGAAAAAAATAAATGAAGTCTGCCTATCTGGGGCCGGAGCCCCTCCCCTCGGCCCGCGCAGAGGAGTGTGACCCAAGGGCTGCTTCCTCCGGCTGCGGAGGGTCAGGAGCAGGCCCTGCGACCCTCGCACCGCTCCGCCCGGCCCCTCCGCCCCTGCCTGCTCGCACCCGGCGCCATCCACGATGAGCGACCCCAACGCCACTTCACCCACCCACCACCGTGAGTACCCACCGCGAGAAGGGGTCTGCGGGGACCGGGACCAACTCCAGCCCCGGCCGGACAGGGGCGCAGGGGCCGAGCCGCGGCCAAGGACACGGGACTCCAGCCGTGCCCTGCCTCTGAGGACGAGGTGCCCGGCGGGTCCGGGCCGGAACACCAGCGCCGCCCCAAGGCTCGCGGCGCCCGGGTGGCACGGAGTCCCTGCCTGGCGCCCGAGGGACCCCGCGCCCCAACCCTGGAGCTACGCTCTGAGCTCCCTGACCCTTGCGCGCCGGCTCTGCGTCCTCCGCTCGACCGGGACGCCCGGGCAGTGTGGCCCCACCCTGGCTCGCCGGGTCCCCGTCTTGCGTCCGACCCTGGCGCGGGGACTGTGCGCCCTGGGCCTGGAGAGGCCTCCGCGCACCTCCGCCATCGCGTCTGCGGGCTTTCTTTGCGTGCTGGTCGGGAAGTATCTGGCAAGAACTTTCCCCTAAACGAATAAAGAAAGGGTCTACTAGGAGGAGAGGCGGAGCGTTCAGCAGCCCAGACAGAACGTCAGGAGCTGGTGCTAGGCCGCCCAGGCAGGGGGCAGGGGCACATGGAGAAACTCCAGGTCACCCCACCGTCCAGGTACTTGCTCTCAAGTCCTGTCTGGCTTGGAAAGGTTCCCCAGATGGTGAGGGGAGCGCTCGCTTCGACCATGACCGTTAGAGGTTTGTAATTTCTCAGGGCCTGTTTCTTTTCGAACCCGCACGTTTTGTTGCTGACAGGAAACTATACATCCTGCGATTCACTGGGAGGCTGTCCAGAAACAATTCTGGGCCCTCCCGCCCTCCTCTGGGCTTTGCAATAAAACACTAGAAGTTTATTTTGCCCCTCTTACTCCAACCCTGGCTAAGTCAATAGAAACTGGGAAAGAATAAACATTCTGAGTCTGTAATGTAATCATGTTAGGTAATTAATATGGTAATGATATGGGTATTGGTGACACTACTGGTTGTATGTCTTTAAAACTCAGGTGGTTGTGAAGCGAAGGGGCCAGCGGAGGGGGTGAGTGTGGCCCCCTGTGCACTTGGTGTGGCTCTGGGCATGAAGACGGAGTCAAAGTGAGGTCCTGGTTGCCTGAGATCATGTGTGCCACTTATTAGCCAAGGTCAGACCCGAGGCAAGCCACCTTCTTAGCCACAGTTTTATCACCTGCAAAATAGGAGTAGGAAATATTCCTCATTGGGTTGTGAGAGTTCAGGCTCAGCAGAGAGATTGTCACATACTAACTGTGGGATAAATGCCAGGCATCTTTGTTTGTTTTACGTGAGACTGTGGATCTGTTATCTCATGTGTGTTAGTGTGTTTAGTGTGTGTTTGAGTGTGTGTGAGTCAAGACACTACTGAGCTCATGGAGGGGAGGGGGTTGATGGGACAGAGCAATGGAATCACTGGGCTCGGGTGCGGAGGAAGCACAGCCCTGCAGACATCCCGTCTGGAGAGGCCAGGCTTGCCACCCAGAGCCTGGCTCCCAGCTCCTCCTCCAGCAGTTCCCTGGGATTCAGGTTTCAGACTTGGACCAATGACTGCAAACACCGCCCTTCTGAAACTGATGGGGATGCACCCCTACTTGCACACCATTCCAGGTTACCCTTAGGACTTGGTTTCTGGCAGGATCTCTGCTCTAGGAGAGCCATGGGGCCCTATTCTCCGGCAGGATGTCTCAGTTTACATCAGGATTCCTCAGAACAGGAGGCTCAAGTGGAGAGGACCCGCTGCTCCCTGCCCAGGCCAGGCTGCCCTACCCAGCTGGGCTCTCAGATTCAGAGGCCGGTTACTGCAAATGAGGCATGTGCAGAAACCCATTGCCCTTGCATGAAAGAGGTCAACCCTCAGGAAGGAGATGGCCAGGTCTGCAGCCTCGTGTCGAACTTGCTGCCGCTGACCGAGCGGAAGGGACTGCATCTGGTACCAGAGCAGTTCCCTTGCTCAGCCCCTCCACACATCGGAGGAGCAGGAGTCAGCTGGCATCTGCACAGTCAGCGTCTGGGCCTTCCCAAGGTGCCGTGTCTGGGCAGTTATTCCTGGGGCTCACAGCACACCCCCGGAAACAGAGGTGGGTGGGGTACGAGGCATACCGTGTTTGCAGTGGGAGCATATTCCGCAGTGAGTAGGAAGGGGCCGTCACCAGACCAGCTGGGGAAGGCAGCAAGTCAAATTCGTGCCTCTTTGGGTGTCAGATGCCCTTCTGAGGCCCCCACCGAAACCCCTAGAGGCTGAGCAAACACAGCAGGCCCACGAGCAAGAGCTGAAAACAAAAGCAAACAAATATATTTGAACAATGAAGGAAGATTAATAATAGGAAAGAAGACACTTTCGAGGGCAGTTACTTTACTGATTTATGAGAATCCTGTTAGGAGCATTGTATGTGTGTATATACAATTTCTTTATATTTTATGCAATGAAACTTTTTAAAAATTTTTTATCAAATTTTTTTAGAGAGAGAGGAAGGGAGAAAGAGGAGCATCAATGAGAGAACATCAATCAGCTGCCTCCTGCATGCCCCCCACTGGGGATTGAGCCCACAACCCCGGGCGTGAGCCCTGACTGGGAACTGAACCCAGACCTTAGTCCATGGGCCGATGCTCAACCACTGAGCCACACCAGCTGGGCTGAAATGAAACTTATTCTATGTATTCTACTTCATCTTGCTTTTTTTCTTTTTTTTTTTTTCTTTTTTTTTTTTTTATCCTCACCCGAGGACATTTTTCCATTTTTTGTACAGATAGAGTGGGAGGGAGAGAGAGAGAGAAACATCGACGTGAAAGGGACACATCGAGTGGCTGCCACCCACACGACCAACCAGGGCCGGGAACAAACTGCAACCGAAGTACATGCCCTTGGCAGGAACTGAACCTGGGTCTCTCTGGACCGCAGGCCGACGCTCTAACCGCTGAGCCAAACCGGCCAGGGCTTGCTTTTTTTCTTAAGAATATATGTTAAAGTTTATACCAATTCCTCCTCAAATGGGCATTTAGGTTGTATACAGTCTTCATTTGATTTTTCTCTAACAAGACCCAGTACTGCCATGACAGCCCTTATAAGTAAGATTTTATATTCATGTATTTGTATACTTTTAGGATGAATTCCTTCCAGAATTTAATTTCTGGCACAAAGAGTATGTACCTTTAAGATGTTAATAGATACTGAAAACTGCCCTCCAGAAGATCACATGATTACTAACCCTCACCTGCAGACAAGGACAGTGGCCACTTCCCAGCAGCCCGGGTCACAGGATGCTGCTTTCATCTTAACCAGCCTGATGAGTAAAACACGTTGTCACTTTTGAACGTACCTAATTACAAGCGAGGCCGGACAGTTTTTGTGCCTCCAGAAGCAGTGTATTTCTTTTTCGGGGAAAGTACCTCTTTAGGCCTTTGCCCATTTCCTGTGGGTTCCTGCCCGCGATGGGAAACACGCCCCAGAAGTTATGACGTGTCGTCTGTCACATGGCAAGCCAGAGGCAGAGCAGGGACCCGAGTCCCGCACATGCGATGGAGTCACCCTGGGTTCGAGCCCGCCTCCAGGGCTCTGGGGAGGACCACAGACCCTCAGAGCCTCAGAGCCTCAGTGCTCCCATCTGTACATGGGAGGAACAGCGACTTCACAGGAGTCACGTGACAGACAGACTAAAGCTTGGCACCCTGCCCGGAACAGTGGTCTCTGTGGCTGTTGTTAACCGACGTTACCCACACAAACCCAGGCTGCAGGTGCTGCTAATCTCTGTCTCCCTTGCAGACAGCTGCTGTTCTGTTGTTGATAATATAACAGCCACAACAGCAGCACCTATAGGCTGAGCCCTGTGGCGGGCCTTGCCGGGGCCACCCCGCAGCCTGGTCTCACAGGCATTTTCTTACCTGTTTGTCGAGGCTCAGGGGACCACCTATCTCCGGCTTCCCAAGTACTAAGGCCTCAGCCGGGCTGTGGACACTGCTGCAGACACTAGAGCTCCAGAGACCAACCTGAGGGGGGCGTTAGGGCGCATGTGGGTGCTGTCCCTGTCCCTGTGTACCAGGCGGGTGTTCTGCCACCCTCCCACCGTGGGGGGGGCTGTGCCTGGGTCATCACTGCTGTAGCTTTGCACCCAAAGCTACACTCGGGTGACGACGCATACAGCACAGACACTCGGAGCCCGCCAATAGCCCGTGGCGTTGAGCCAGTCCTGTGGTCCAATCTCGGCTCTCCACTGCCGGCCATCTCTCCCTTCTCTGTGGTCAGGCCTGGCCCACATCGGCCAGCTGCCCTCCACCCTGCCTTGCACAGCCAGCCCAGGCTGCCCCGAGAGCATCCTCTCAAGGCCCCTCCTCATGTCTGGACGGCCCTGCCTCACCAGCTTCAACCTCCCAACTGCCTGCTTCAACCCTCCCCCAGACCCTCTGGGTAACCCCCACCCCGCCCCCACACATGCAGTGTCTGCCTGGCTCACACCTGTGTGTCAGTTCCGGCCTAGGGGGTACATTCCCACCTCCTTGGGCCCTCCAGACACTAGAAAACTGCCCACCGTGGCTCTGGGGACACCTCTCAGCCCTGACAAATTCCTGGCTCTGCCCCTTCACGGAATCCTGACCTCCCAAGGGTCTCCATGACCCACCTCCCGCTGCGTGGGGACTGGCACAGACTGGCACTCAGGGAGTGACCTGGAAATGAATGGATGACTGCGGAGATTTCTAAAGGCCCATGCTCCCAAGCCTGTTTCCGCTCCAAATGCCAAAGCACCTTTCAGAAAGTGTCCACTCCATAGCTGCTAGTCCAGGACTTGGCATATTCATGGAGATAGTCAATAATAATTTGAAAAGCACAGACAGTCAAACCAAAACTGATTCTATGAACATGGCCAGTGGGCTCCAGCAGTCACCCCCTAGCTCTCCTGCCCCTCATTATTAAGTCTTATTTTATACTCTCCCTCCCTGCCCCTCCCTCCCTGCCCCTCCTCCCCCCTCCCTCCTTCCCTCCCTGCCCCTCCCTCCCTTCCCTCCCTCCCTCCCTGCCCCTCCCTGCCCCTCCTCTCCCTGCCCCTCCTCTCCCTTTCCTCCTTCCCTCCCTGCCCCTCCTCTCCCTGCCCCTCCTCTCCCTGCCCCTCCTCTCCCTTCCCTCCTTCCCTCCCTGCCCCTCCTCTCCCTGCCCCTCCTCTCCCTGCCCCTCCTCTCCCTTTCCTCCTTCCCTCCCTGCCCCTCCCTCCCTGCCCCTCCTCTCCCTTCCCTCCGTCCCTCCCTGCCTGCCCTCCCTGCCCCCCCTGCAGTCCAGGCCTCCCTCACCACCCCAGTCTTTGCTAGGGTTTCCTTGAGATCCTATGGAATCTGAACTTCTGAGGCAACGCTGGCCCCGGCCCTCAGTTGTACATTCTCATTTCTGCACGTTCTCCCAGAACAAATGCTAGTGTGCGGGCTTCGCCATGGCAGAGGCTGACAAGCCGGTTTCCTCCCTCGCCGGTGAGAGCCGGAGCCAGCACATGGGTCCATCACAGGTGGGAGGTTCGCAGGACCCCCACCTGACTCCCTCTGCCCCACGCTCGCAGCCACAGACAGTGGCGTTGTCAGCAGCGCAGGGACGCGCACTGGGCCTGGGAGGCGGGCCTGCCCTGCGGGCAGTGGCCGAGCAGAATCGATGTCCCTGTCTGGCTCTGCGGCCCTGCTCTTCCTCTGGCCAGACGTCGCCCCCACCTCTCATCAAGGACTCTAAGACTGACAAATGGCGGGAAGCTCAGTGTGGACAAGTCTGAGTATTAGACCTCCAGGGGGCCCAGACGGGAGGGCCAGGGCTCCACAATATTGTGAGAGTTACCTCCTGCAGCTCCCCCAGGTTCCCACAATACACATCAGAGAAAAACAGCCCCACCCCACCGCCTACCCCAGCTCCCAGCAGGAGGAGGGAAAGGAACCACTTGGAATTATGCCAGAGCAGCTGTTCATGTCAGCCTGCCCTCGGACTCAACCAGAGCCCAAGGGGCCTGGGAGGAGAGGGCACGCCAGCCCTCTCCCCATCTGTCCACAGGAGGGTCAGGCCGAGACGCACTGTGAGGCTCCCAGGCAGAGGACAGACCCGCCCCGCCTGCCCCGTGTTACCGCAGGCCCTTTGCCCGCGCATCACGCCTGGCTGGCAGAAGCTTTCGAGGCACAGCAAAGGCAAAAACACAACGAGAAGGGACAGAGCGAGCCTCCGAAGCCGACCTGATAGGGATGTTGGAATTACTGGGCGGACTTTAAAACAGCTCTGATGAGTCACTCTTTTGACACTTTGTTATATTTGCTCCTGTTTCTGCTTCTCTGGCCAACTCCTTCTATAAGTTAAAGCTACATGTCTTTTCTCTTACTGCCAAAAGATTGTGGCCCACATACTATGCGGGCTCAGTAGACATGCCCCTGGCCCCTTCCAGATCTCTGAAGGAAGCGGAACTTGTGAGGGGCAAGACCTAGGCGGGCTGCATGGTTATCTCACGGCACCTGTCACGCCCTGGTAGAGGCATTTTACCTCCCCTTCAGGTGGGGCCTCCTGATTGGCACATCACTTGCAGTGAGCGCAGCCAGGACCCCTGGCCCCCTTCTCCTGCGTGCAAACTCGGGTTTTTATGACGAGTTCGACTCTGCAACTGCCCGCTGGCCCTGGGCCCCAGCTCGGCCATTTTGCCCCTTGGACCCTGGAAAGGGGAAGGCTCCACTTGATTGACAGCTGTGGGTGTGTGCACTCTCGGAGCCTTGGAGGGAAGATACTGTGGCTGCCAGATCCGAACCAGAGAGGCATCCGTGCCGCCTCTTGTGTTGGGCCCCAGCCTGTCTTCTGCATCCACCAGGCAGCACTGTCTCGACGTGCGTGTCAAACCCCCTCTCCAGAACCTTACACTCAGCCTTGTGCCCATAGAGGCTTCAAGTTCAGGTTCCTCTTCTGTACTTTTCTGAGTCATTGAGTCCAACTACACTTTGACAAGGTGAGAACACCAGCTTTAGCGTTCAGGCATTTGGGTTTGAATGTGGACCACACTGACCTGCTTTGGCCTGGCCCCTTGGCATCTCCGTCCACTGTCCAGGACAGGGCTGACCCCACGAGCGTGCAAGCTGTGCCGTCAGCAAGGGCCTGTGCTCAGAGGGCCTGCGCTCTGGACTGAATGCTGTGCTGTTGCATCCTGAAACGTTTAAGTTTTGAGCAAGGGGCCCCACATTTTCATTGTGCACTGGGCCCCACGAATTCTGTAGCTAGTCTTCCTTGGGTAAACGGGGATAACAACCATCTCACCTCAGGGTTTGCTGTGAGCGCTGAATGCATCCTTGTGGATAGAGCCTGGTACAGGATGATCACTGCGACCCGCTGAGTCCTGAGAGTCCCCGCAGGAGTGTAGCTCCCTCCCTCTGCCCAGCGTTTCCTTGTCCCCAGGTCTTACCTTTGTAGCCCGTGTGTCACTGAGAAGAGTGCCCAAGGACAGGGTGATCATCTGCCCAGGTCCTGAGCCGGGCAAGGCCCCTGGCCCAGCAGGGAGCCACCCTGCACTAGCTCGGGAGGCTGCTCTCTCCTAGGCCATGACAGTGGCCTCCAGCACACCCGCTCCCTCGTGGTTCTGTCAAAGAATGGGCGCGATGTGAACACATGGGGCCCAGCAGCTCAGGGTCTTTACCTGATCCCAGGGGAGGGCCGGCCTTGCTCCCCCAGCCTCACCTCAACACCCGCCCTTAACGAAAGGGATCTCACTGTCTCGGGCTCCATGGGGAAGAGAAGACTAAAAACACTGAGTGAATGAATGTCAAGTTGCAACCAGTGTAGACAAGTCTGATGTACCCAGAGTGCTGTGTGCCCCGGGTTCACCAGCACCCCTTCCAGCCCAGGGTGAGACCCGCCACTCAGTGGCCTGCGGTGACCTCGAAGTCCCTTGGTTCAGCCACTGGCCTCTCCCTGCCCGTGGTCCTTGTGTGCCCGACCCTGTCCTGCCCACAGGCGGAGGCCCTCCCTCCCCTCCCTCTGGCCCTCACGCCCTCCACCCTTCGATGTCTTCTCCCAGCCATGCTTTTCTCCCTGGCGCTGCCCTTGCCGGGGGCGCAGCGGGACTCTCTCAGGGGCCCTGTAAAGGGGCCGCCCTCCTGGAAGGGTTTCTTCTCCGGCCCGCAGCCTGTCCCCGTGCCTGAGCTGCAGGGGGGGGCCCTGCTCGCAGCCTGTCCCCGTGCCTGAGCTGCAGGGGGGGGCCCTGCTCGCAGCCTGTCCCCGTGCCTGAGCTGCAGGGGGGGGCCCTGCTCGCAGCCTGTCCCCGTGCCTGAGCTGCAGGGGAGGGCCCTGCTCGCAGCCTGTCCCCGTGCCTGAGCTGCAGGGGGGGGCCCTGCTCGCAGCCTGTCCCCGTGCCTGAGCTGCAGGGGGGGGCCCTGCTCGCAGCCTGTCCCCGTGCCTGAGCTGCAGGGGGGGGCCCTGCTCGCAGCCTGTCCCCGTGCCTGAGCTGCAGGGGAGGGCCCTGCTCGCAGCCTGTCCCCGTGCCTGAGCTGCAGGGGGGGGCCCTGCTCACTGGGCTGGTGCCCGGGGCTGACTTGCCACCTGCATCGTCATCCTTACGTTCTCCTTTCAGTGCATCGATTTCAGTCATGGCTGAAGTCCATTTTTAGTTTTAATTTCACCATCTCTCTTTTTTTTCTCTTTTCTACAAATTCTGTAACGTAGCCTGACCCACTCTCCTCTTAGGGTGACTCAAAGCTTCATTTCCGAGAAGTTATCTCATGTCACCCTGAGCGGCCCCTCAGGAGGTATTTTATCTCCGTTTTGCACGTGATGACACAGGTGACGTGCCCTGTGAAGAGCCACCGACCCTGAGGCGGGCACGTGCCGCGGGTCCTCGGCAGGGCACGCCGGCCCCCGCTCTGTGCTCGGGCCCACCCTGTTTTTAGACACGCCCAGAAAGGAAAAAAATAAACTTTTAGAACTAAACATTGCATTTGTCTCTATACCAATGCCAGTATAAAAAACAATTTTTAATATTTTGGGGGAGAAGGGACCCAAGAGGGCAAAGCACCTAGGCTGATGACAGTCACACTGAGTCCCTGTCTGAGCCCAATCAAGGCCCAAGAGCTGGATGCCCGCTGGTCCCCAAACTGTCAGCCTCCCAGCCAAGTGCTCCCCGTACGGGTGCCCCGCTGCTCCGCAGGGCTGTCCGGCCTCGGACCCTCTCTCCTTCCTGCCAGCCCCGTTCAACCCCGCGGGACCCCGGGCTGTGCAGACTGATGGCGCTTGTTCCTTCTGCCCTAGAAAGAGCCCCAGCGTCCAAGGTAAATGCTTGAGGACACCCGGGGCTCGCTGTTTGCCCCTGCCCTGCCCCTGCCCCTGCCCCTGCCCCGCCCCTGCCCCGCTCCTGCCCCTGCCCCTCTCTGTTTCTCTCTCTCTCTCTGTCTCTAACTCTCTTACTGCCTTGGCTTTTTATGTTTAGAAAGTGGGCTGCTCGTCACTTGAAAGTTTAAAAATAGTTGTCTTCGCCCTGTTTCATTACCACAGAAGCAGTCACTGTTCCTTGTAGAATGACGCGTGCAGACCAAGGGGAGATGAAAGAAGACACTTCCCAGAGCAGGGTGACTCTCAGACACTCGAGGGGTCGCCAGGTGACAACCGGACGGCCCCTCCGAGGGCGATCAAGGCAGATGGAGGTGGAAGCTCAGTGTGGAGGCCCCAGGGAGGCGCCCAGAGCGCCCCTAGAGCCTGCTGGGCTGCACTGAGGGCCGTGGCCTGGGGTGCGGACGCAGTGGTGTGGATCTCGGCGCCACCGGGCAGGCTGGCCAATAGCACTTGGTGATTCTGAGCTACCCACACCCCGCGGGGTATGCATGGTACGTGGTGCAATACAGTGATACCTCGGTTCTCGAACGCCTCGGATTTCGACCAAATCGGTATTCGACCAGGAGATTCGAGAAACTTTTGTCTCGGAATCCGAACAAATATTTGGAACTCGAACTTCCGAGATGAGCCGAGTTGAGCCGAATGGCGTTCATTCGGCCCAGCGCGCCTTGCTTGCGTCGTCAGTGTGAGTGCAGAGAGAGTCACGCTTTGTGGAGAGAGTCACGCTTTACACTGAATTTAACCCTTAGACATACTGTACACTTTTATTTCTTGTTGAGACTTATGTTTTTCTACATATTATATACAAATTAGGCCAGTAAATAGGCATTTTCTGGGGCTTGGAACGAATTAATCCAGTTTCCATTATTTCCTATTGGGTTTCATTGCTTCGGTTCTCGAACAATTTGGTTCTCGACCGTCCTCCTGGAACGAATTATGTTCGAGAACCGAGGTATCACTGTATTATTAGTGCCAGTTTAGCAAAATGGAAACTGGTGTTACAGGCTGTTCCCCGGGGCCTCCCGGTGCATCGCTGGCACAGTCCAGCCTGCAGCCAGGTGTGTCCCTCCACTTCCAGGACACGCAGCCACCATGACGGAGGGGCTTGCCATGACCCAGGCCCCTTCTGCCCAGCCCCATGTAGCCCCGAGGTCACTTTCCTTGCCTCAGAGTGAAAAGCCTTTCTTTGTTCGCCCCACCCACCCACTTGTGCTGGCTCAGCCCTCTGCAGCGCCCACCTGTCCCCCCGCAGCTGCTGATGAGATGCCCAGAGGCACACTAGGGCCCTTGTGACAGGGCCGTCCTGCAGCTGTGCCAGCCCACACACAGGTCCCACTCTCCCCTGGGGAGCAGTGGGCAGCTGCCTCTCGGGGGCACCACTGGGGCACCAGGAGAGAAGAATGCCCCCACCAGTCCCGGAACGCCTCCCCATGGAGCACCCTGGCTGGAAGCTCTGACTTTGGTTGGAATCTCTCCAGCTGCGGGACCTTTGCTGCAGGGCCTGTTATTCTTGGCTGGGCACCTTCAAGTCTCTTTCCTTCCTCCACGCAAGACCTACTATCTCCTTCTTCGACAGGGAAGTAAAGTGATGTGCAGACAAGTTCCGTGACTTGTAAGCATTCACACAGCCAGGTGTAGGGACGCAGATCCCTGGAAACTGTTGGGGTGCACTGTTTGTGCCACAGAAACTCAATCATCAGGCTTTTAAGTGGGGGACAGGAAGCAGTGGAGTTGAGGATGCTGGGATTGCATGTCACCAAAGGGAAGAAACGGATGCTAACCCTACATTACCCTGTACCTCCCTGACCTCCCCCCCCACACACACACACATGCGTGCACACAAGCACTGACACACACATATGCACGCACATGCACACACACACACTTGTGATCACACACACACGTTCCTGACCACTTCTTTGCATGTTTCAGGGACAGGCTGGTGTCAGCCCCAGGTCCAAGGCAGAGAGGTGCTCTCTGAGGGGTCTGGTTTGGTCTGGACCAGGGCTTGCAGGGCCCATGGGTCCTCCTGACCCCCCAGGGCAATGAAACAACGGAGGCACTGCTGCCTACAGCATCGTTGGTCGTGGGCAGGCTTTTAAAACTTTCTCCTACACCATCGCTCTTCGGCGCCGTGCCCTCTCTTGACCTCGGTCTAGAATGTCTGCAGTGCGCCTGGCTATTGGCTCTGTGTTCTGCTTCTCAGCGCCCCTCTGTCTGATCTCCCCTGAGGTCGGGGACCCTTTTCACTGCACAAGACACACAGGTTTGCGGAATTCATGAGGTCGTTCGGTTGTTTCGGGTTGGGCTCCGCACTGCCTCCCCTTTGGAGCCTCCCCCAGGGGCGTGGCGAAGGCCGCAGTCTGTGGACAGGGCTGCCTCCGCCGGCAGGGTCTGCAGCAGTCGGGCTCCAGTAGTTAACTTCTGGGCCCCTTTCCAGCTCGGACCCCGCACACCCCTCTTTGCTTCCAGCCTTTCACAGGACCGGGCTCCTATTATAAGCCCCAAGTTTCCAGGGACCCTTGGGTAGCAGGTGACAGCCAGGAGCCTTCGGCTTTCTGTGCACTTCGGGCGCGTTCAGTGCAGAGGGCCTTATCCCGCAACCTGTCTGGTGCACTTCGAGTTTGGCCCGGTGAGCGCCTCCTGTGAGCAAGGGCTGCAGAGTAGACACGGGACAGACCTGGTCTGCAAAGGGTCTTCAGCCGCAAGGGGGTGGGGAGCAAAACCCAGAGCATCAGAGGCCAAAGTAGTCAAAACGCCATTCAGAGGCATTTGGTCCTGCAGGCCGGTGGCCACCCCTGGCTCAGATGCCGGTTACAGTGCTGGTCTCCTCTGGAACGAAGGTCAGGTGTTCCTGAACCTCCAAAAGGAGTGGCCTCCTCCTGGGGTCCCCACTCCACACAGAAATGGGGTCATAGGTGCAAATTCCCACTGCACTTATTTTCATCAGAAAAGGCATTTCTACAAAATAAATTCTTGGATAAAGTCTGAACATGTGCGAGATAAAACCCACGTGAGGAGGTTGTGCTGGAGCAAGAGGCCTGGGGACCAGCTCCGAGGCGCCTGCTGTGGTTCCCTCGAGCGTCATCTCTGGACTCGGAGGGCTTCATGGAGCCACGTTTCAAACTGCTGCGTGGCACCTTCTGGAATGGTTGCTGAGGCCTACCCTTTCTTTTGCTGCCCACGAGGTGCTCTGGGGCAGGGTCTCGGAGGGCCCTTCCACACAGGACATCTCCATCGCGTGAGGCCATCAGATGCTCTGGCTGGGGCGACCTGTGTGCCTGTGGCCAGACAGCAGGGTACACACAGCTGTCGACCACGTCACCAGCTAATGCCATGAGTACAGTTCTCATAGAATTTCGGGAACCCTCAGGCTCCCTAAAAACGTCTGAACAGTTGGTAAGGAAACTGGATGGCAAAGTTTATTATGGAACCATCTACCCACAAATGCTTCTGACCACCATATACGTGCCTGGTTCACCAACGTGCCCCTCCTGTCCTCTGTCCCAGGGGTGGAGGAGGAGACAGAGCGTCTAAGGTCCCTGTCCTCGAAGCATGGCTGGGCTCTGGGGCACCAAGGCACACACCATGGCAGGAACCAAATCACCCTAGTGCGAAGTTTCTTATGGAACAATTTCAGGTTTCGGATTGAAATACCTGTGTCTTATGGGTATTCACTGAAATACCAAAATAAATAGTCACATGTTCAAGGAACAACTTCAAGTGTGTAGCCCCCAGATGTAAATTGAGACCTAACGTTAGCTAGTAGTCAGTGGTGGTGAATGTCTCCTTGACCAGGTCGAGTTCTAGCTGGTTGAGCTAAGATTCCGCTGACGGTGCCGCCAGTGAGCCTTGCTATGCGGGGAAGGTCCTGGCTCGGGGGGACTTATGTAGAGACAAGTGGCAAGGACTTGAAAATAGGACACATGCACAGGTACCCGCTGTGGACAGGGATGGTCTGGCCTGTCATGTGTCCCAAGCAAATGGGAGCCAGTGGCCGTCGCTGGCGGACATCCTCCCTCCCGGTGAGGTGGGCCTGCTGGGTGAGGCAGGACTGTGATCTGAACCCAGGGGGTCCAACGCCTTGGCCGCCCCCCACACACCCCACCTTCCACATGGCAGGACATGGGGCGCTTCAAGGCGAGCCATTCTCTCCCACAGGAGGAGTGAGGGAAAAGTGGTTCAAATGGGCTTTTTAGCTGCATCCCTTGCACCAGGCTCTCGCAATCACCCCAGGCCACTTCCTGTTAAGAATTGTGGAGCTTCTGAAAGATCTTCTGGAACATGTTCTTCTAAAAAGTGAAATCATGTCTGTCACTCGCTGAGAAAACAAACAGAGCTGCAGAAAGCCCGGTGTCACTGAGGACCTCGCAGTCAGAGGCAGA